TAAAAAACAAATATTAAAAATTCTCTCCCTCTCTCTCTCACTCTCTCTTAAAAGAATAATAATAATAATAATAATAATAATAATAATTCAGGTTTATTTAGCTCAGGGTTCTGCAAAGTCTAAGAGCATAGCACCCATATCTTCCTGGCATCTGGCAAGGGCCCTCTTGCTATATCATAACGTGGCAGAGGGTATCACACGGCAAGACAGAACAAGTTTGCAGGAGAGAGCTCACTATTATAACAAAACCACTCCCTTGTTAATTCATGAATCTAATAATTCACAAATAGATTCATCCATTCATTCACAAATAGGGTCCTCCAGACTTGAAGACCTCCCAGTGATCGCACCTCCAGATGCCATTAACATAAGAATTTGGGAATTAAGTTTCTGAAATCTGGAGACACAGTCAAATCACAGCAATGCCTTAACCCTTTGGCTAGGATGGGAGTGTCAGAACCAGAATTTTCGCCTATGCTGTGTAGGACTGCCATCTCCCATCTGCAGTGTCAGCAGAAACCATGTGGGGAGTCTGGATTTCCACACCTCCCACAGTAATCAGACCCAAAAGATTTCTGACAAAGGTTCAAGAGCAATTCAAGGGTGAATATACAGCATTTCAACAAGTTGTGCTAAAGCAACTAGGCATTTGGGCATTCATAGGCAAAAAAACAAAAAAATAACCTCCATCCCAAGTCTTACAACTCATAAATTTAACTCAGAATGGACCATGGTCTTAAATATAAAACATAAAACTATTTTTAAAACAAAATTTTGGGAAAACACAAGAGTAAACCTTTGAGATTTTAAGGCTTTGTAATGAGTTCTTAGACATGATACCAAAAACATAAAGGAAAAAAAAAGAATAAGTAAGTTGTATTTTATTGAAATGAAAAATTTTTTTACTCTGCAAAAATCCTTGTAAAGAGGATGAAAGGACAAGTTGCAGAGTGGGAGAAAATATTTGCAAACCACAAAGCTAACAAAGGAGTAGTTTCTCGAACACATGAAGAAAAAAGTCAATTAAAAATGGAGGAAGGAAATAAACAGACATTTCACCAAGAGAATATGCAGATGGCAAAAAAAAAAAATGAGAAGAGATGTTAAGTATCATTAACCATCAGGGAAATGTAAATTAAAAACTGCAAGGATATATCACTACATACATCTCTGGGTGGCTTAAAAAATAAATATTGACACAACCAAATCCTGGTGAGGGTGCGAAGAAGCTGGATCACTCATACATTGCTGGCAAGAGTATAAAGTGGTAGAGCCATTCTGGAAAAGTTTGGCAGTTTCTTTAAAAAAACAGACATACATACATATGGCCCAGTATTATTTTATAGGAAAAAAAAAACCCTTATGTTCACTCAAAAACCTGTACATGAATGTTCAAAGCAGTTTTATTTTTAATGGCTCCAAATTGGAAATAATCCAGATGTTCTTCACAGGTGAATTGAAAAAAAAAATACTATGAAATACTACTTGGCACTAAAAGGGAACTAACCATTGATGTAAACGATAATTCTGATGAATCTCCATAGAATTTTCCTGGGTGAAAAAAGTCAATCTCCAAAAGTTACATACTGTGTGATTCCACTTACATAAGATTCTTGAAATGACAAATTCATTGGAATGAAACGCAGATTAGAGGTTGACAGAGGTTAGAAAAGGACAGAAGTGGGAGGAAAGTGGGCATGGCTATAAAAGGGGAAATAGGAGGGACCCACCTCATGGAAATGCTTCAGTGCCTTGACTGTCTTAATGTCAATGTCTAGGTGGGATATTGAACTACAGGACCTCGTCTTGCAAGATGTTACCATTGGGGAAACCAGATAAGGGATACAGAAGAGCTGTCTTATTTCTTACAACTGCTTGTCAATCTATAATGATCTCAGAGTTAAAACCCAGACTTTAATAAAATAGCCAAGTCCTTCTCAAAGAAGAAAGAGAGAGAGAGAGAGAGAGAGAGAGAATGTAAGCTATATGACCTGACAACTCTCTTTAGAAAGCAGTGTGTCATAAAATTAAACATACACTTTGTTCTATGCTGTAATTTATCTCCCCAATACAGATCTTAAGGAAACTTTTCACTGATGCATCAGGAGAAGTGTAAACAATGTTCCTAGCAGCATTATTTGTAATAGCAGAAAGAAAGCTGGGTGTGTTTTCCAATGTTAATTTCCTGGCTTTGCTAATGCACTGTGGTTATATAAGATGTTATCATGGGGCAGCAGGGCAAAGACACACAAACTTCCTGTGATTTTTTTTTTCCTTTTGGCAACCTCTATGCCATTCTAAAATTATTTGGAGTTTTAAAAACTGGACACATTTTATTGAAAATGATTTAAAAATTGGGGCAGACAGTGGAATACTAAACAGCAGTGGAAATGTAAGCACTGCTGCTGTGCGCAGCAACAGAGGAATCTCAGGGACAAAATGGGAAGAAAATGCAAGTCATAGAACAGAACATACACTTTGATACCTTATATAAACTTCAAAAGATGAAAACCAAAACAATGTATAGTTGAAGGACATGTTCAAATGTGATAAAATGCAAAAGAAAAGCCAGGGTTCTAGATTTTCAAGTTGCTGGGGAAGGAAGGAATGCACCTAGGGACATCATAAGTGTTGCAATGTTTGGCTTCTCCAGCTGGGTGGAGAACAAATGGGCATTCACAGTGACAGGTTTTCTTTATAACTTCGCTATATATAGTGTACACTCAATAGGAAGCTCTGCAGACTTCTTAAAGATGGGACACAAAGATGTTATGTCGAAGAAACTCTCTCTAGTGGGGTTGTCAAGATACTCTTCAGAGTGGACACATTTTCTTCAACCCAGAGAAAGGCTGATGGCTCTAGAGCAGGTCAAGGGCAAGGCCCAGAGTAAGAAGAAAAAGCAACGGTGGCTGGAGAAGGAGGGAGAATGGAAGCAGAGTGGACTTGGAATCTCTAAGGCTCTAATTCCCACAGTGTGATGATGACATTTTGTGAGCATCATTAGTACCTGCCCCAACTACAACAGCCCAGAGATTGGAACTGGGTTTTTGTCATTTGAACTGGAAGAATCTTGCCAGGGTCCAGCAAGGCATTCTAGCAAGCTGCATCTGGCAAGCATCTGGGTTGATACAGAAATGCCCAAAGGGCCCATCGCTTTCTCCCCTACCACCATTTCACCTTGTGTGTGAAGGTCCAGATGATCAGGGAAGGTACTGGACTGGCTTACACTGACCCAAAGGATGATGCTTTTTCTGACACTACTGAGCTGCTTTGTTTTGCCACAGATGATCTGAGCACAGCATAGAGGGTGCAGGAAGACAGCACCAGGTATTTGGAGAAGGTGCAGTTGGAGGATGGTTACCTGGTTGGGTGCCTTGACCAGCAGGCACCCTGGCCCTTCGGTGGAGGGACCACTCACAGAGGCAGGAAGAGTAGTGGCTTGGGAGTCTCCTCTTTCTCTCTGGAGCTCCCTTCATCCCCATGCTGAATGCAGTTTCCTTAGAGAGAAGAACCCCAGAGCAGAGGTAGGGTGGAAGTTGGGAAGGTTGCCCTCACTCTGATGTCAAGCACAGCTAAGCTGATATCTCAGAGTGTTGATCTACAACCCCTAGGGCTCCAAAATGTAAGAACAAGAACGGTTTTTCTGATTTGGGGTCTAGACATTTATTAGAGCATTCAACAAGTATTATTTTAAGCCCTGAGCTTGGTTCCTGGGGTCCAAGAGTGGAATCCCAGCTGCTGGTTTCAAGGCACTTGCTGTCAGGGGTTTAAAAAGCAATGAGAGGCTCTGGGAGAAGCAGCAGGGAGACAGACCAGGAACTGCTTGAGCATATCCAATAAATTCTAAGGTGGGGGAAATAACAAATGTCTCCTGGTGAAGAAATGTCTCCTGTTCCAAATGAACAGGTGAAGGCTGCCCCCCATTCCTCTCTCTCTCTTCCTATAACCCCTAAAGTGTATGCTGATGATAATCAGATATGCTGATGATAATCCCCCCCAAACATTCATTGTACAGCACAAATGAACAAGACCATGGGGTGGCGGGAGAGTAAGAGGTAGCTTTGTAAAACCTCCATTAGCCAGGATGGGAGCTGTCCTGGGAGTGTTTCTAAGCTTGGCATTTGCTCTTTGCTCTCATCCACTCACAATTTATCACCTGTGCCTCAGTGGGCCAGGCGAGTACAGAGGCACTGGGAGGTCAGTGCTGTTTCCTCTGAGAATTCATTGTCCAGATACACATAATTACCAAGGCTAGGAGTGTCATCACTGTCAGCCTGGCCGCCCCAGGGTCAAAAAACTCAGGCCACTGTCCTGGAGATAGGCACACTGGCATTCAGGGGTCACTGTGCCTTCTCTCCCATGGGGCAGGTTAGGATTTAGCACAAAATAAATGGTTGGAGGTAGGCGCGCCCTATATTGGCGCCTCTTCTCTCGCTACCAGGTCTGCGGGGACATCAACAGATCCAACACAGGTCGCCCAGGTGAAGGATCTGGGCTTAGAGGGGAGGACGGGCTGGAGGCCACAAGGGAGACAGTGGAGCCCTGCTGCCCCCGCCCCTCCTTCCCGCCTGCGCCTTGTACCCATACAGCTCCCCATTCCCCACCACACCCTGGCTTTCCCACAGCCTGCTTCCTTCCTTCCCTTTTGCCCTCTCGGACAACTGCACTGTACACCGGTGTCTGGCGAGGTGGAGGAAGGCACAAACATCTAGGTTTAAAAGACGAGAGACAAATGTCCCCTGATAATTTTGTGTCATTTTTTGGGGGTTCAAAACAGAACTGCTCTGGGGAAGACAGAAGTAGCCGGGCCGCTAAAGACGGTTGGATGACCCTCTCAGAGGCAAGGAGAGGTGGCTCTCTCCCGCCGGGTGCGGGCTCCAGGTGGGCGGGCGCACGCCCCCCAGCCCCGCAGCGCCGCGGGCCCCGCATGACATCAGAGGCTGGGGAGCGCGCAGAGCGCAGGCGCCGGCAGAGAAGGCAGGCTGGAGGGGGCCGACTGGCGCGGCTCGGGAGAGCGCTCCTCCGCCCCGCGCGCGGTCCCTGCGCCCCGCTCCGCCCGCGCCTTGCTGCCCGCGCCGCTCCTCGGGCGTCCAAAGCGCGTCGCCCTTGGCAGCCCAGCTTCAGTCTTCCTCCTCCTCCACCTCCTCTCTCTCCTCCTCCTCCTCCTCCTCCACTGCCGCTGCCGGACACGCAGCCGCAGGCCGGGGCCGGGACGCAGCTGGGGAGTCAGGGACGCGCGCAGCCAGCCCTTCCCCCTCCGGCTCCCGCACCGCCGGCCGCCTCCCCTAGCCCTCCTCCTTTCCCCTCCCTGCTCCTTCGCTTCTTCCTCCTCCTCCTCTACCGGCCCCGGCTGCCAGCATCATGTCTGCAGGGGGAGATTTTGGGAACCCACTGAGAAAATTCAAGTTAGTGTTCCTGGGGGAGCAGAGCGGTAAGTACCCGGCTTATTCTCTTGGCTTGGCGCCGAGCCTTCCCCGCCGCCGGTTTACCCAACACCACAGGGACCCCCGGCCCGGGCTCGGAAAGGCCCTTCCACGCCCGGGTGGAGAAGAGGGATGGGGATGGGGAGATGGGGTCAGCTGGGGTGGGGCTGAGCCAGGGAGGGGACGAGAGTAAGGGCTGAGGGAGGTGCTGGGGCCAGGGGTGGGGACGATGTGGGATCTGGGTGGGGGTCCGGGGTGCAGGTGCAGGTGCTGCGAGGCGGGGAGGCCGGAGGGCGGCGGCTTGCTCCACCTCGCTGGCCAAGGCGTGAAGGCGCCGGGTTCGCTGGCTCACTCGCACTGCGGCACCGGCTGCGGGCGACAGCGCAGGTGGCCCGGCGCCGGAGAGGGTGGGGGCAGGGGACGAGTGCCCCTTTGGGGAGAACAAGGTGGGGCTGGGGGCTGGCCGCACCCGCAACACGGCTGCGCCGAAGGGGTTCCTTGTGGCCCCTGCCTGGAACCATGTGAAAGAGAACGAACGTCCAGACCCTGCAACAGTCGCTGGGTAGTGGTGGTGGGTAGGGTGGCGGGGAGGAAAGACCGACACCTGCCTTCTTCAAAGAGCGGGTGCAGGCCATGGGCGAACAGCGCACCGACCTCCCCAAGCTTAGGTCAGACTGGGCAGAAGGTTCCAGACCCGCTGTCCTTCGTTGGCACATGTCAGCCTCCTAGGGGTCCAGGGGTGTGGACGATTGACGGAAAGGTTCCTCCAGTGTCAGGCGATTTGAGGGATGGTTACAGGGGCACCTTGCATTAGAGACTGTGAAGCCCGGGCGATGGGCAGAGAAAGGCCCAGGCGACACGCCCTGCCTGGCTTCCCAGCCCCCCTCCAGAGAGCATCAGCCGAGGCGGAGGATTCTTCCCACCCCCACCTCCCTGCTCACCGCCCTTCTTGGGGGGAGGGGAGGTCACCGTGGCAGCTGGCCAGAGCCGGGGAAGGGGGAGACTGAGGGCTTCTCTGCTGCCACGGAGCCTCCCCTAAGAAAGCATATTTGAAACCCAGGTTGGCCCAAGGTGGGAAGCCCAGATTGATGAGCAGGGACCCCTCTGACACCTGTAGGAAGGAGTGGCTCCCAGCGCATCTCTCCAGGGGCCTCCTGCCTTCAGGAAGACAAGCTGGGCACTTAGAAAAGGATGTCCCTGGGTGGGCAGGACCTCCAGCTCTAGCTCTACAGATCAGTCCTGTTCAGCTGGCTGAGTGCCTGTCTACAAAGGTCCAAGAGAAGGGAGGCTGTGGGAGGCCCGGGTAGGCTCGGGAACAGTGTTGCTGTGACGTGTGCATGTGGGCAATGGAGATCACGTGGCTGCCTTCTGTCTGCTGATGCTCATTTCCTGAAAAAGAGGTTGAGAGGTGGTCAGCTGGCCCCAACATGGAGAGATAGGTTTGGGGCATTTCATATCAAGATCAACTCAGCCTCCTAGCCCTATGTTGGGGACTCTGATTTCCTGTTCTTAATAGACCCCCAGTGTCACAGAGCTGACTTTTCCATGTCTGTAAGGGATGGGGTGGTCTTTGGCTCTAGGAGAGAATCTGCAGGCTCTGCAGCCTGGGAGTTGAATTCTTAGCCAAATTTGAGGCCACTTGGAGACTGAGTTTCTGTCTCTAAAAAGTGGTTGCTTGAAGTTCTTACACCTTCATGTTTCCCTGGTGCCTGGACTATATGGTAAGGTCTGAACAAACATTTGTTTACTCTATGTCTGAATGAACACACTTCAAAAGAACTAGGAGTTTGATGAGGGAAAACATCTCTGGTGAGAAATCTGGGCTCCCTCAGAAACTCTGCTGAGGCCCCTTCTGAACCCTGCAAAGCCCCTTTGTTCCTAAAAATCACAGAACAGAGAGCCAAAACCTGAGAAAGAGGCTACCACCTCCCTTGCATGTTGAGATGGGAAGGGAGCCCCAGGGAATAGGGAGGGCTTTTCCAAAGTCCCATTGAGTTGTTAACATTTCTGGGGGCGGAAACCCACATCTCCCATGTCCAATCCACCATTTTTCACTAGCATGTCATTAGGAAATAATATGACCTTGAATTGGGAAAGCCAAGAATCAGGGAGCTTCCCTAAGAGGGGGTGAGGATTCAGGAACAGAAACGTCTGGATTGGGTGACCTGGTGGGACTGCTGGGCTCGTTGGTTGGGGGCAGGGTTTGTGGGCCCTTGGAACATGGTCATTAGGGAGGCAAGGCACTGCCACTGGGGAGATTGGCTGCTGGCCATGCTGGTCCCTTCTGGCAGGGAGCCCTAGGGCCCTGAATAGCTTCCTTCTACTTTGTTGTATCATTAGCGGGTTGCTTACCTTAGGTTCTACAGAACTTCGGGGGTCTGTGAGTTAGGTAGGGGACATATATAGCCCTCCACCTGGTGGGTTGGGGAATTGCCACCACTGTCACTCTTCTGTCTTGCCTCTGCAGTTTAGCATCTGCTGGTCTCATGTGCCAGCATCCTCTGCAGACTGTGTGGTGGAAGGAGCCTGCAAGGTCTGGTGCTCAGCCGCACCCTGGCTCTCCCTTCCCTTCCTTGGGGTCCCTCACCTTCCGTACAGGAGGGACTTGGGCCAGCTGAGCTCTGCGGAGCCTTCTAAAGCAGCAGTGACCTGCCTATAAGAGCTGAGTCCATTACTCAGGACCCAGAGGAAGGGAATGGAGAGATGTGACCTTCTACTGTTTCTTGTGTCTGATATTGTGGTTGCATTTCTCCAGACCAGTGGATAAGTGCTGCTGGGTTCCAAAGAGGAGAGCCAGGCTAGAGCAGGATGAGGAGGAAGACACTCTGAGCCAGACAATCTCAGGTAGACATCAGGCCTTCAGAGATTCTAGGGAACTGATTTGAATGGGAAGCCCTCGAGGAACCAGCTCTTCAGAGAACACCTCAGTCTATGAGAAAACCCGCCTCCCAGTGGTAGAGTAACTGCTGTCCCCTGGCCCAAGGGATATAGGCTGGCAGCCCTGCCTGGGGTGAGATTGTGAGCAGGGTGCTGTGGACCAAGGATGAGGGATTTCCTTGCTGCAGGGAGTCTGCGCAGTCCTGCTGGTGCGTAGATGGCTGTCTGGGCCTTCAGGACATGCCTTCATGCTGCTGGCAGAGATGGGGAACATAAGGGGATGACGCACACCAGTTACGACGAGGGCATCCAGAGAAGACTGGCAGGAGCAGTTGACTGAGGAAGGAGAGTGGGCCCGGAGGAGGCAGATGTTCCTCCTGAGTCTGATGGCGTCCTGTGGGGAGCCAGGCTTCACACAGCACATCTGCATGGTGTGCATGGTGGGAAGGGGGTGTCAGGGACTCATCTGCTGTACTCTGTCCTCTTCTTGTCTCCCCTTCCCTGAAACTCCTCCAACCGAAGGAGGATTGGCTGCACACAACTCAAGCTGTCTGCTTTCCCAGATGGAGACCAGAGAGCAGCTTCTCCTTCTGGCCACCACCTCCCTGCACCCCCACCCCCCAGCAGGTGTGCATCAACCTCCAGTGGGATGTGCATGGTGGCCCCTGGAGTTAGACACCAGTGGCCCCCTCAAGCAGCTGCCCTCTCCCTTCTCTCTCCTTCCCTCCCTCCTTTCATCATCTGTTTATTCATTTAACCAGATCTTTGAATGTGTCTTTGCCCTCATGGAACTTACAGTTCAGTAGGGGGCACAGATGTCTAGATGTAATTATTGCAAGGCTCAGGAGAGCCACGCAGGGGAAGAAGAGATGCTGTAGGAGGCGATGGCTGGGGTGTCTGACCCACCTTTGGGGCAGGTTTCAGAGGGCCTCTGTAAGCCTCTGTAGACAGCAGGATGCATCTCCTTTCTCATTGGGCTGGGTGTGGGGAGAAGTTCTTGCAAGGAGACCACCCTCCAGAGAACTTCGTCTGTCTTCCATCCTCCTCAGTAGGAAGTGTGGGGGTGCAGGCACAGAGACAGGGGGGACTCTCAGGCGCCTGACTTGCTGGCAATGAGTAGGGACTGTGCCCCACTTCTGTCCCATTCCTCTCCAGTTAAGTTGAAGGATCATTCAGTGGCCCCACAGCCTGGGAAGCCCACAGCCTGAGCCCTGCTCTCTGGGCAGCACCAGCACACAGAGCCCTTTGCTGGCCTGGTGCTATGCCTGCTGCCTCCCGCTGAAGCTCTCTCCTGCCCACCTGTGCCCAGACCTGCTTGGCTATGAACTGTGGCCTCCAGCATGCCTCCACTTTTTTTTTTTTTTTTTAGCATTTAAAAAAACAATTGATCACGTGCTGTCCCATGACCTTTCTTTTGTAGTCTGTTAATTAAGGATTTTAAAATGTTTATTAACCTTTTCAAAGGTTACAAAATACCAAATTGAATTTAAAGTACCTAAGGATGACCATAAGCACTTTTGGAGGACCATGTCTTAGCTTTCCTTTTATCCCTCCTTACCCCCCATGTGCGGGTGGTTTATGCTCACTGAATATCTTTTTTTAAAAAAAAATATTTATTTTTCAGTTATAGTTGGACACAATACCTTCATTTTATTTATTTATTTTTTATGTGGTGCTGAGGATCAAACCCAGGGCTTTGCACGTGCCAGGCAAGTGCTCTACCACTGAGCCACAACCCCAGCCCTGCTCACTGAATATCTTGATTCCAAAATGATGGCATTCTTCTCTACGTGTGAGATTTACTGATGTCCCATCAGTAGATTAAAGTGAAGAGACTCAAGGTGGCTTTGAATTGGATTCTTTTATCCTGGCACCTGCCTGTCTCAAACCAGATTGTTGCCAGAGACACTTGAGAATCTTTTTCAGAGGACTAGATCAATGAACATCGGTGATGCCCAAATCACAATCCATCTCAGGAACCTCAAGTTCTCTGGAAATCTGCCCCCCCCCCCATAGCTTTGAAGAAATACAGGACAGCTGCTGGGCCACCAGAGATAGGAAGGGACATATCAGACCTGACCTGATCCTGCCAGAGGTTCCTTGGAGATCCAGAGTCAATCACCAAACTGCA